GCAGGAAGATATTGTCACTTTTTGGGCATACTTCATGTGACAACGGACACATGAAAGCATTGATTAGATCTTCAGTGACTTAAAAAAATTAATCTCCCAGTTTTCTAACTAGTTTTTTTTTAATCTGAATGCAGTGTGTGATAAGAAGTTGACTCACTGAGAAAGTCACCTGCGTGACTAGAGGAAGTTTATCTGCTCCAGGGTTTTTTTGTGGCCTGTCGTGCTGCCAGTCACATCTTTGACAGCTGAGCTTGTTGTGCAAGGGCTGCAATCAAACATGACTGTAGCTCATCTTTTCCGCTCACCTGAGAGTCACTGGATGGTGTATTCCCATTGATCTGATAATAGGTGATTGTGTTGGGATCACGGGAGCATCGGGATACCAACAGTCAAGTGCTCTCCGGAGCTATGTGAGCTAAAAATGAAGCTCTCTATGAATGATGAACTGCATTCACTCAAGTGGATAATTTGAGCTTTACCAGGAGCTCAGCAAGGCCAGTGCCCTGTGTCCAGCCTGCACATGCAACCAGCCTCAGCTACTGAACATTACAGGGCAGATGACAAGTGCTGCCAGGTCTAACCATTTACTGAAGTTACAGAAGGACGTGGAGCGGTCAGTGCAGCTCTCACAGCATGAAGTGTGTGTGTTGAGGCCAAGTGATGGAATGACCCCATTTCTGGGGACCACCAGGACATTTCCAAGGTCTGTGAGACCCCTGGAAAGCCGTAACAATATGAAGTTGGGTGCACTTCTGCCTTGCAAAACCCCTGGGGCAGGGGATGCCTCTGCTGCTGCCTCTCCAAATACCATTCAGTCTTACCATGCCAGGGAAGATTAAACCAAAGGTAATTATTCTTACCATGGGGAGCTGACATTCAACTACTCATCCTCAGGGATGAGTACACTGATGCTAGTCACTACAAGTGTAACACACAGGACAGCTTTTGCACAGGTGCTAATAGGATATGTCATGGGTACCTCATACCTTCAAGGCACGTTTAGTAGCTATATAAAAGCTCGCCTTCTATTAGAGCTCACTGGTCACACCACGAAGCTGTTCTCACCAGGGAGCTGGGTAAGTCTGGTTTGTGCTGAGCCTCTGTAGCTGCTGAAATGCAGATTTATTTCTGCTTTTTTACATATTGAAAAAAATGCTTTGCGGGAGAAGTTTCTAAAACTAGTGGGGTTTGAATTGCTGTGTTGGAGCGGGAGTGCACTCTCTTACGGTGTCTCCAGCTGGGCATCCAAGTCCGAGAGATGCTCCTGAAAAATGTAAAGAAAGGTTGTTAGCAGTAATTGGGATGCTGCTATTGCTGTTTGCTTTTGAGGGTGCCTGATGATAGTCAGAGCAGCTTTGATGTATCGAGGAACATAACACTAGAAGAGCTGTAAGCAGGTTTGCGTTCAGTTGTGGTATCGCCACCCTTTAATTGGCTTTGGTTCCCTAATGAGCACGAAATTTTTGCTGCTGGGACTGAGCTGTGAACCTCTGCCTGCCTGTGGTGTGATGGGATCACCAAGCAGTGGTGCCTTGGGCGCGCTTTGCCTCTTCTGCTACGGCAGATGTGGCCAGAGGTTCATAGTGTGTTTTTTGGGTCGGCCTTTTTTCTTCATGCATCAGCAAGAGGTCAGAGGCAGCCGCCAACCAAAAGCAGGAGGGGAGAACTGGATTTAATAGTTGAAAGGCATCTCTGAGATCAGCCATTCCTCTGCTGAACTCCAAGATCAGTTCTCCACTTTGGAGGTCCAGGTGATGAGGAGGGACTTGTGTTCTGGGGAGATATTTCATAGAATCATAGAATTATAGTATGGTTTGGGTTGGAAGGGACTTTCAAGATCATCCAGTTCAAACCTCCCTGCCATGGACAGGGACACCCTCTACTAGACCAAGTTGCTGAAAGCCTCATCCAACGTGGCCTTGAACACTTCCAGGGATGGGGCAGCCACAACTTCTCTGGGCAACCTGTTCCAGTGCCCCACCACCTTCATTGTAAAAAAATTCTCCTAATTATATCTAATCTAATTCTACCCTCTTTCAGTTTAAAGCCTATTTAGTGCTATGTGTCTCTGGGTTTCCTCACTGTTTGACTTAATGCCGTGTTTCAGAGTTAAAAATTATGGGTTGTGTCCTCGACTGCTGCTGGCGTGGTTTTTAGACCATGGCATAGGCGGGACATGTCTCCAGCTCTCTGTGAATCGAGCAGGTCCTGCAGCGTGGCCGGCAGCGGGACCATAAGAAACTCAGCCGGGTGGGTGTCTAAAGGCTCTGCTTTCTCACATGTTGTTCCAGTCCTCCTGAAGCCTCGCTGACATGTCGTGCTACCTACAGCAGTGCCTCCCTCCAGTCTACCAAGACCCCATCCCCATCAAATCCCCACCGATGTACATTGCCAGACTTCCACCGGTGCCTACCTGGCAGTCGACCCTGTGCACCCCACAGTACGTGACCCCCTGTGTCCCCCAGCAGCGGATCATGTCCTCCAGCTTCTCCCAACAGCAGTGTGTGACCAGGTGCACGCCACGGCAGCAATATGCAACCAAGTGTGTTCCACAGCAGCAGTGTGTGACCCAGCGCATCCTACAGCAGCCGTGTGCAGGTCGGTGCGTGACAAAGTGCGTGCCACAGCAGCAGTGTGTGACCACGGGCATGTCGCAAGAGCCTTGTGTGACCCAGTGTGTGCCACAGCAGCCGTGTGCGACCACGGGCGTGCCGCAGCAGTGTGCAACCAAGTGCACGACTGTGCACGTCCCCCAGCAGCAGTGTGCGACCAGGTGCGTGACCACGTGCGTGCCACAGCAGCCGTACCTGACCATGGGCATCCCCCAGCAGCAGTGTGCCACCAAATGCGTCCCGCAGCAGTGCGTCACCACGTACAAGCCGCAGCAGCAGTGTGCGACCAGGTGTGTCACCACGTGCGTCCCGCAGCAGCGTGCCACCAAGTGTGTCTCGCACAAGTTTGTGACCTCCTGTGCCCCGCAGCAGTGTGCCACCGCGCATGTCCCGCAGCAGTACGTGACCAAGTGCGTGACCAAGTGTGTCCCTCAGCAGTGTGAGACAACTGATGCCTCCCAGCAGCAGTGTGTGACCAAGTGTGTCCCACAGCAGTGTGTGACCAAGTGTGTCCCACGGCAGCAGTGTGCCACCAAGAGTGTCCCACAGCAGTGTGTGACCAAGAGTGTCCCACAGCAGCAGTGTGCGACCAAGTGTGTCCCACAGCAGCATGGTACCAACAGGGGCGTCCAGCAGTAGGCAACC